TCCACCCATTCATCCTAATCATGCTTTTTTCATTTTCCCAAATCCAGACTGGCATGGAAAAGTTCTCTTCCCTTTTCACCTCCCTCGATTTTCCCTCTTCTGCCAAAACCACTCCCCTCCAGAAACACACAGTTCTTCTGTTCTTTCTCTGGAATGTTTCTTATCTCCCTCTTAACAACACTCTGGTCTTCCTAGGAACATGATTTACATTATTGACTAGGAGCACCAAGCATGGGAGAACAAAACAGTGGAAGAGCTGCTGGACTAGGTGCCGAGGGCAGGGCAGGCACAAGCACTCCTGGGGCTGGACTCCCTCAAGCACTGCTGCCCTCTCCTTGCAAACCCAGAACAGCAGGGGCTTTCACAGCAGTGCCCTCACAGCTGCTGCTGGCCAGCGGGTGGCACGGAGGCATCTGCACACGCTGCAGGGAGACAGTCTGCTGGGATTTGTTGCTCGGGCTGCAGGCTTCAGGTCTGACTCACCGAGCAAAGGCTGGGCACAAGCCAAAGAGCCATGGAAAGACTTTCAGGTCATACATGCTGCCCTTAGCAGTGCCAGCTCAGCCTGCAGGGCTGGCTGGCGCTCCCAGAGCAGACCAAGCATGACCCAGGAGTCAAGACCTTTTTCGCAATTATTGAGGCTTTTTCTCTACTGGGGCAAGAACTTTGTTATCCCCTCCCAAAGATGAATTATGGAGCAAATTGCTTCTGCCTCTCTTCAAAGGCCTGCGAGGTTAGGACACTGCTCCAGAAAGCTGCCTGTCCTGCACAGGCAGGTCTGTTGGCTGCACAGGGCTGAGCTGTGATTGCCAGCTCCAACCCCCTGCCAAGCAGCTTCCTCTGCTGCTGCAGAGCACTTGGCTGTGATTGTCTCCCCAACTCCTGAACCTCGACCCCACCAACAGGATGCAACCCAAGAAAAGATTTTACTGGCAAGTGTTACAAGGGAGATCAGAAGGGACAATGAAATCAACCACCTCAGGAATATAACCATGTTTGAGTCAGTTTTGCAAAGATCTTCCAGCTGCTGACTTTCAGCTTGAACATCAACCCAAACCCCGCCAGGTCCCTGCCAAGTGCCCTGCTAGCTCAGAGTACCGCACAGACTCTTCTGTATTTCCTTCCAGAATCTTCCAAGGACTGCTTTGTCCAAGATCCCTTCTCTTAGCCACATGCCTCAAGGGAAGGATCTCCCCAGGTGTGAGAAAGCCATCTCTCCAACACCGTGCCCTCTCAGAACATCCAAAAGAGCAACACATTCACATCTGACCCACAAACCAAAGCCAGGGTCTGCTACAAAAACCTGACCACAGCTGTGCCTACACACCCACACTGCCAGGAGACAAAGTCCCTCACCTGCCTCCTGCTGCCAATGGGGAGGGAGAGTCCGAGGAAGCGGCTCTGGGGCCCACACACAGATACTTCCAAATGTTCTTTAGAATGTGTCACCTCCCCCTGCCTGTGCATGTGCTCAAGTTTTTAAAGCAAAACAGAACTAGTGCAGGGAAACAGTTGGGGCTGGCACGGTGACATGATATAATCCGTATGGGCATCAGTTTCTGTCTTGGGTGCTCCATCTAATCCAGCTCCTTACTGTGACCTGGGCAAGCAGTGGAAGATGGCCCAAGGCCTTGGCCCCTGCACCCATGTAACTCCTGGCTGCTAGTTGCAGATTGTCTCCGCTCTGGCCATTACAGTCATTTAGGGAGTGAGCTAGTAGGTGGAAGATCTCTCTGCTTCTCTCTGTGTGAAAATCTTCCTTTCAAATAAAAATACATGAACCTTAAAAAAAGAAAAAGAGTTGAAATGGTCTCCAAATAGAATGAAACCTTCCTTAGAAAACCTAGCATTTCTCCTCAAGAAAGGTAGCTAAAGCCCCCTCTCTGGGTACCTGTGGCCTCCTGTGCCTTAGCACCCTGCCTGGCACAGCCCTGAGGTCCTCATCCAGACCCCAGAACACGCTGTCCCCCAGACTGAAAGACTCTTGTCCCCTGCTGATCACCTTTGGTCTTGCTGAGTTTCCCAATACTCTGTAGGATATTCCAGATCAGTCTCCCACTTGCCTACAGCCATCCACACTCAGGTCTCCCTTCCCAGCATCACTGGTCTGCCTCTGTACTTGGTTCATTCTCAAGTTCCGACTTTGGCTTCTTGGCTTGAGTTCTGCTTCCTCAGTTACCCTGGGAGCTACTCAGCAAAGAGGCTGATGCAGTCACCCTCATCATTGCCTGCCCGAGTTCTTGTTCTGTGGCCGGCCCAAGGCAGGTGCTCTCTTAAATGGGAGGCGTTAGGGGTTCCACATGGAAGAAATGAAGTCACAGTGGAGGGTAGGGGGTTCCACACGGAGAAGATGAAGTCACAGAGGCAGGACACAAATTTTAAATATTTATGACTTTATTGGGAGTTAGCCGTTGTCATCGCAGAAGCCAGCTCCCCGTATACACAGTATACACCACACAGCTAGTGCCCAGGTCCTCCTATCCTTCTGCAGCACATGGAATGCAGAAAAAAAAAACATGCAAAACAGGGGACTCTCTCCAGGTAGGTACCTACTGGCTTCTTTGGGAGCAGACTGCCTGGCTAGGGGTACTCAGGTCCTGCAAACCATCCTCAGCTCCGTGCAGTCTCCTCGCTTCAGCATGATGAGGTCTGGAAGACAGTACTAGGGTCAGAGGTCTCCGAGCAGCAGCACAGGCAATGGGCACAGGAGGCTAGGAAATCCTGAGCTCAAAGCTACATGCCACTGAAGAAATTGCCAGAGCCTCCCATATGTTTCTCTTTGTCCACAGACTTGATATACCACTTACTATTGCAGCCCTTGAAACCTGTGCCTTCGGGTCATGTCTGCTCAGCCCTGGAGAGCATAGTTGGGTCTAACAAAGGGTTCAAAGACAAGACAAACATCTCAAGTTGTCCTGGTCATACTTCTCTTTACAAAGGAAAAAAAAAATAAAGTGACAAAAAAAAAAGTCATCACTGGGACCTGGCTTGCGTCACGAACAAGACTAGGTGTCTCTCTTTGAAAGAGAGCAAACGATGGTTGAGACCAAACACCTTCTGCCAGGGAACGAATTACCCCATGATGGCATCTGCCTCTGCACCTGCTTCCTTCCTCAGCTGGTTCTGCACAGCCCTCACACACCCAATCTTTGCCAAGCACATGGTATGGCACTGCCGTCAGCTAAGCAGGCTACCTTCCTGTCTGGGCCTGGGAACCCTTTGTCCAGGCAGCTGCATGGGCTCACAGATACAAGGAGGGAGATGGCTCCTCTTGCTCCATCCTGTCCCCGGATAGCTGCAGGCCCTGAGGGAGCCCTGTCCAACAGCTCCAGCCCAGGACCCTGCCAACGTTGGAACACCAGGCCAGACGCTTGGCTGACAAGCTGGTTGTTTTGCAGATTTTAACCTAATAGGACATCAAGAGATTGAACCACTCTCCCCAGGAAACTCATGTGCTTTGATTTTTATCTCAGTGAGGTTCTCTGCCAAGCTCCTGAATTCAGAAGCAGGAGATCCCTTGAACACATTGAGGAGTCTGTACCATTAGCAAATACCCTGCTTGGCCAAATAATCTCTGACACTCAAACACTCCCCACTTGGAGATGTAGGAATCTCCTGACGTCTACTCCACTGATTGTGTCTACATGTGTCCTACTATGCGCCTCTGGGTCAGCAATTCTTGGTGACTCTTGAAGCCTGCTCCCAAGAAACCTGAATGAAGAGGAAATCCTGCCACCCTGCCCTCAAACTTCATCCTTGGAGCCCCAACAATGGTCAGGCTGTGGAGGAGAGCAGGGAGCACTGCACCACACTCCTCTCTGTGGCTGAGCAGCTCAGTCTAGGAAGGCGGTCAGTGGGGTATGATGGGAGCACCGGGTGACCACTGTCCCAGGGCAGGGACAGGGGTGGGTTCCCAGAGAGAAAAAAAATCTGAGGTAGCAAATCGGTGAACCCCATTTCCCAGCTTGGGGTGCAGCATAACCTGTCCACTGCATACAACAGTTACTGCCTGGATAGAGACTCATTTGCAAATACCTGACCCACTGGCATAGCCCACTCCCTTTCTGGTCCTTAACAGATGCCTCTCAAAAGAAAGACATCATCAGAACTGAGGTCTCCACCTCCCATCCATGGCAACACCCTCAGAACACAGAGCTCAGCAGATACCCACCCATCACTCAGCAGAGCCCTCCAGATCACCCCTCCAAGTCTATGCTTCCACCACCAAGTCTATCACCCCCAGAGAAGCATCAGTGTCTTTTTTAGAGTGCCAAACTCCCTCTCTGCTTTCTCTCTCTGACACGCCTCAGGGGGATATCTAAGAAAAAAACCTTCTCACTAGTCTTCCACCCTGAAAGTCACAGGAAGGCGAGCCTGCTTCTTAAAGGAGCAAGGCCTAGTACAGGAGCTGAGAGACCTGGAATGGCCAGTTTCTTCCCAGATTCAGCAGCCGGAGCTCCAGCACTGCCTCGTCTCTCTGAGCCCCCAGGTTGAGCCCACTTGGCCAGTTCTTGCTGCTCAGTGCTTGTCAATCAGAAAAGGAATGTGAGCTGAAAGCACCACGGAAACCCTGCCTCTTTCAGAGATGGATCAGAGCCCCTGGGGCCACCTGAGGGTATCAGGTCGCTGGGCCACCGCTCTTCCAGAAGCCAGGGGTCTCCCTGAAGGAGGGGCCCAGGTCCCTGAAATTCTGCCCTAGGATCTGCCCATCCTCCAGGTCTCTTCTCCCAGCCGCTGCCCCTCGCAGCCTATGCCAGCACCTGGGCCCGGGAGCAGCAGGGCGTGAGGTAGACTGTGCGTAAGTTAGCATGCCCTGCCCAGCCCAGGGAGGAAGAAGGGACATCTCAGCCCAGCCCCGGGGCCTTGTCCCTGGATGTGAATGACACAGCGGCATGGGCCCCTGGACGCTGCCCTCTGCCAGCTGCTCCAAGTGGCCTGACATGGGCACAGCAGTGGGGCGGAGAGTGAGGAGGACACAGGGACAACCTGTGTTGTGTTGCTCAGCATGGCCTCAAGATGCAGAAGTCCAGTTCCTGGGGCTTGCGGCGCAGGTTGCACTGGTCTCTGGCCAGCAGCCGGCCTCCATGGCCCAAGCACTTGAGCGAACGCCTCTTAAAGCCACGGCCACAGCTCTTGGAGCAGGGTGACCAGGTCCCCAGCTCCCAGGTAGGGCAGGGCTCTCCGCAGGCTCGCGTCTCCACCGGTCGATGAGCAATGTCGCAGGCTGAGTCTCCAAGCAGCCCCGGGAGGCCCCGGCAATCCACTGCCCGCTTCTGTAGGCCACTGCCACAGCTCACAGAACATGGTCCCCAGCTGCCCGCCACCCAGCGTGCCGGAGGCCGGTCATCTGGGTGCTCCACCTGGTTGGAAAGGCTGAGAACGCTGTTGTGCAGTACAGAGGGACCCCGGGGGGCTTTGGGGTGGGGAGACTTGTCCTCCCGGGGCTCTTTGGGTAGATAGAAGGAGTAGCGGACCCGGGGCGGTGTCATCTTGCCCACAGAAAGGAGCTCTACCGTCAGGGGCTCCAGGATGGGCCGAGAAGCCTGCAGACTCTCCACCGCCGTGCCTGTCCCACTGTACCGCAGCACACTGCCTTTCACCACCAGGTCCCGCTCCACAGCTGACACCACAAAGTGGCCATTGAGCAAGTACTTGCCTTGGCCGTTCTTGACGGCCAAGTAGTTGTCATCCCCAACTAGCCCCTTGTAGCCTCGCTGGCGGATGTCGATGCTCGAAGCACCTGCAGGGATGGTCACCACGAAATTGTAGCCATGCCTGTGGGGCAGTAAAGGCATCATGCATTAGACAAACGCCTGCACGAATGGACCACATTGCCCTTGATGTCCTAACTGACTCCCCTTTGCAAACCATAAGGTAGGTCAGGAGGCAACCAAACTCTGAAACAAATCAGGCTGCAGCAGATCCCTGGATCCAACTGAGGCACACAGACTGCAAGTGGAAACCTGAGCCTACAGTCAGAGAACCCTAAACTGAACAGGGGTGGGGTGGCTTCTGTGTATGTGACGCACCTAGGGTGTGAGATCCGAGGGGGACAAACGAGACTCCAACACAGTCACCTGGGCCTTTCCATCAACAGCACCCACAGTGCCGCATTTCCAGGACTGACAAACCCTCAACCCCTACCTGGGACCTGAGGTATCCTGCCCAGCCTGATCTGCTCCAGAACGTAAATCAGGACTTTTGCAGGGGAGCATGCTGGCCTCAGCAAGCTGCAGCTGGGGAAGCCCAGACTCCGCACTTGATGAGTGTCATCCAGAGATGTTTTCTCAATTGCTCCTGGTTCATGTTTCCCAGGAAACTGTGCTGTCTGTATCCCAGCCACCCAACCAAACTCCAGGCCAGCGCCCAGCCTGGGAACAGCATGGTGGCTATCACAATCTCCTCATCATCACCAGGAACAGCATTCACTCTGCACCCTGCAGGGACTGTGTCATTCCATTTAGTCAGATTAAGCCCCTTAGTTTGCCCTAGAGCACAGCTGAAATGCATTAGTATTACATGTACTTTATAGGTAGCAATGTCTAAGAGCATGGCAATTCCAGGAAAATGACTCAATTACTCAGTGTTGGGGTATGGAATTTGAATGTGGGCCAGTCCCAACCTAGAATGCTAGAGAGACCCTACCAACTCTGCCATCTCCTAGAAGGCAAGCTCTGGCTGAGCAATGCTCCTTCTTGTGCATTCATCTTCATTCACTGAATGAATGAATGATTATCAGCCCCAGGAGCATACGGGCAAGGATATGGATGGAATCTGGCTTTCACCCCAATCAACCCCCAGCTTCCAAAGACTGGGAGGAATTCCACCCACCACCACACCCTTGCTCCTTGGCTTCACCCTCCAGACTCCAGAACTCACATAGGCTTGGTGAAGAGTCCTGTCACCTTCTTGCAGCTCTTATTGTCTCCCCCACACACCCCACATTTGTCAAATTTCTTCTTGGAGCCCAGGTTCCCATCACAGCCAGCCTTGATGCATTTTCCTTGGACACAGACTGAGGTAGAGTCGGGAGCACAGAGCGTTCCATCCACCACCTGCAGCAGCCCAAAAAGGCGAGGAAAGCATGAGGGAGGCAGTTCAGCCCTTGCTCCCCTGACAAAGACCAGCTCCAGGCTCAGGCCTCCTGCCCCAGCTCACTCACCTTAGGTGCCAGCACATAGAAGTAGCCGGTGCCATTGGCTCGGCAAATGAGCTTGCACTTGTCCCGGGGAGACACACCCGAATACTTGGGCACCCATGTCACAGCAAGGGTGACCCGGTTGGTACTGTGATTGTGGCCATTGAAAGCTTCGCATTGCTCCTCCCGGAAGCTCTTGCCAGAGGCTGCCAAGGAAATAAGAACATAAAAGAAATTAAGAGAGAATCCATGGGGATGAGACGAGAGCATCTTCCCATGGTGCTCAACCTCCTATGGCCCTAAATAGCCTCTCCCTTTGCCACCCACTGCTGCACGGTGGTCCCCACCAAAGCTGAGCCTCCCTTCTTGAAGGACCAAGGCCCAAGGGCTCAGAGAACTAGGCACCCCTAGCAAGGCACCCTTCTCTGCATCAATAGACCTGGCCTTGAACTACCTCCCCAACAAGTACTACGAACATTTTGTGTAGTCTGTCGACACAATTTTCAGAATCATAACTCGAAATACACAAAACAAATTGTGTAACTGTTTTGTTACACTGCCCATCACACTGATAAACAACTGTTGGTATATTTTGAAACATCTGTGTTTCTCAGAAGTCAACCCTGAATATAACAGTGGCTGTTGTTTTGAAGTAGGCATGGCCCTTGAATTCCACTTTGAGACTACTTCAACAATGGAAATGCCCACATGAGAATATCCATGATCTTGACAGAGGACAAGGTCATGGATGCCTCTACTATGATGGCAGCTCTCCGCCTAATTAAAGAAATGCTGTATTTTAGGTGGGAAACTCAGCCAAAAAGGAAAATGTCTACTAAAAAAAAAAAAAAAAGCACTTGCACTGAATTCCAGACAGAAACGGTAGTTAAAACTAGAGATCTCAGTTTTCTCCCACTAAGTTAATGGCTTCTGGGTTCGTGCCTATGAAAATGAACTTGCCAGTACTTAACTAAAAGGACCTCTAGTGTCTCACCCTCTTGAGCTGTTTGACCTTCTTGAGTCCAGAGGGAATCACCCTGACCAGAGATGAATGGATAAACAAAGGATCCCAAAAGACAAAGTCCACAAAGCCAAAGCCCCTTACTTGCAGGCTTCGACCTGAGGGTTAGGATCTAGACTATGGTTCCTTTGTGGCCATGAGTGAGTTGGAATGGATGGTACAGCTGCAGAGAGGGGAGAAAAGGAGGCTACCTCTCCCCAGGGGCCCAGGCCACAGCTGCCCTCCCCATCTTACCTGAGTTGGGGCAGGGCTCCAGGTTGCAAGATCGGTATTTCACTCTCACTCCCTCGCAGTACTTGCCCCCATTGGCAGGGGCCGGATTGCTGCACTGCCTATGGGACAGCTGCACGCCCCCACCACAGGTCCTTGAGCAGGGCCCGTAGGGCTCCCATTTAGCCCAGGAGCCATCCACCTGTAAGGAAGAGCTGGTTAGCCTCCTGCAAGGGTTCCAGACGTCCCACCCAGCGCTTAGAGATGCTACCAAGCAAGCAAGCCTCCAAGTTGTCACTCTCACCCCAGTGGAATGAAATTCACTTTGAGGAAGGAAGGAAGGAAATGAGGGAGGGAGGGAGGGAGGAAGGAAGGAAGGAAGGAAGGAAGGAAGGAAGGAAGGAAGGAAGGAAGGAAGGAAGGAAATGAGGGAGGGGAGGGGAGGGGAGGGGAGGGGAGGGGAGGGGAGGGGAGGAGAAGGGAAGGGAAGGGAAGGGGAAGGGAAGGGAAGGGAAGGGAAGGGAAGGGAAGGGAAGGGAAGGGAAGGGAAAGGAAGGGAAAGGAAGGGAAGGAAAGGAAGGGAAAGAAAGAAAGAAAGAAAGAAAGAAAGAAAGAAAGAAAGAAAGAAAGAAAGAAAGAAAGAAAGAAAGAAAGAAAGAAAGAAAGAAAGAAAGAAAGAAAGAAAACAAGAAAGAAAGAAAGAAAGAAAACAAGAAAGAAAGAAAACAAGAAAGAAAGAAAGAAAGAAAGAAAGAAAACAAGAAAGAAAGAAAGAAAGAAAACAAGAAAGAAAGAAAGAAAAAAAACAAGAAAACAAAAACCAAACCATCAACCATCAGTATGCACAGGGCCCCACACTACACTGCAAATAGTTCCAGCTTCTCCCAGTTATAAATGAAGCTACTGGGAAGAGAGAAGCCATGGGGAGAGGCAGACAAGTTCTACAACCACCCCAGGCTCAGGCAAGGAGTGAAACTCCCTCAGATGTTTCGTTTCCAACAGTGGGGTCAATAACACCCAGGCCTGCTGGGGGACAGAAGGCTGGAATGATGTCCCATGTACGAAAATCCAAAGGCCCATCCGTAACTGGCCCTGTGCAGAAATCCCAGTTTTTCCCATACCTGTCGTCTGTGTATCCACAAGGATCTCTACACCTACAGTGTGCCCAGCCTTGCCTCCACAGACACGTGTTCAAACATTTCTCTTCATAAATGTCCTTTCACTTTTAAATGTATGACTCCTCAGCAAACCAAACTGAATTAGGAGTCGTATGGCCAAAAGTCTCACTCTAAACATCTGTTATGTTTGCTTTAAGCAGATGCAGATAAGAGTCTTATTAAACAACACAAAATGTCGATGTGGCTCAGGGTTGAATGATGCACCAAGCATTTGTTTGCTTGTGAAGGGAGAGAAGGGATAGAACGTTTCTAGACATCATGCTGCTTTTGCTAGGACAACAGTACATGGGGCTTTTAGCCCCTGACTCCCCACTGGTGGTTTACGGAGGAAGCAGACCAGCGTGCAGGCCAAGATTATCACTCTGTCACAGATGGTCCACATCAGGATGAACCCACATGGAGCTAATTGGGAACTGGGCACATGAAATATAAATACACTGACTTATGTATACATTCAGCACATTGATTCTGTCTGTCCTCCTGCCAGTTACATCTTGCTTGGTTGGGGCAACATGTCTGTTTTATCCTGCAGCAAAAAAAAAAAAAAAAACCTCTTCATCAACCCTACTTTCTCCTCAAACGAGCACCCACTTTGTCCATCCTCTCCCTTCTGAGAGACTCATTTACGCCCTCACTACACAGTACCTCGCACTGTGTCACCATCACATGATGAAAACCATTCTCTCAGAGCTCTAAGCACTGGCTGTCCAAAGAGTCTGGCTGTGTCTCCTATTCCCCAGGTCCTCTTTCAGACCTAACAACACCCATGGCCTCTGAGACTACCCTGCTTTCTTTTCACCAGTTTCACACAAAAGCAATGTTCCTTGCACTGCAATCACAATCCCACGTGAATTCATTCATCTGGTACTTATGGGGTCCCTATCACATGGCTGACTCCACTCATCAGCCCTTGAAGCAGTTATACCCTGGTGGGGTCGTGGCACAATGGGAACAAGCTTGGTGAGATAAGGATCCTCCATCCCAGGGAATTTCCAAAAAAGTCATGAAAACATGTATATAAATGTGTATATAAAGACTAGTTTAGGGCCCGGCGCGGTGGTGCAGTGGTTAAGGTCCTCGCCTTGCCATATGGGTGCCGGTTCTAATCCCGGCAGCCCCGCTTCCCTTCCAGCTCCCTGCCTGTGGCCCGGGAAAGCAGTCGAGGACGGTCCAAGGCTTTGGGACCCTGCACCCGCGTGGGAGACCCGGAAGAGGCTCCTGGCTTCAGATCAGCATAGCATTGGCCGTTGTGCTCACTCGGGGAGTGAATCATCGGACGGAAGATCTTCCTCTCTGTCTCTCCTCTCTGTATATCCGCCTTTCCAATAAAAATAAAAATAAATCTTTAAAAAAAAATTTTAAAAAGACTAGTTCACTATTGGTGCAAAAAACTGAAGACTCTATGCTTACTTTTTTCATAATGAGCATGAATTTCAAAAATTTTAACAACAAAAGAAATTAACTTTTCCATTTTGGTTGTTTTTTTTTTTTTTTTTGTCCATGAATGTTTTGAAGTACTGTTGTACTACAGGAAGCCTGACAGGATGCTCACACTTGCAGAGGCCTGAGGGAAGTACAGGCTCAAGTGGCACAGTAGGGAACAAGTGTCCAAGCAGAGGGAGCTGGGACAAGGTGATGCCTGGAGTGCCTCAGTACCACTGCAGGTGAGAGGAGAGAAGCCGCAGGCGAGGCCAAGGATAGGGCCGGCTCATCTTGAACCAGAGGTAAAGCCCTGGGATGGTTCCCAGGGTAGGTGTGGCATATTTGGCTTATGTTTTTAAAAGGATTCCTCTGGCTGCTGCATCAGGACTAGCAAGACCAGAAGTTGGGGGATGAGTTAGGGAATGGCTGCAGTGGCCCAGGGAAGGAGAGCTGGTGGCTTGGGCCAGGGTGACAGCAGGTGAAACAGCAAGAAACAAGGAGATCCTGCATCTGTTTTGAGTCCGCAGAAATTGCTGACATAGCATGTGAAAAATTTTAAGGGCAAGGGGGAGGGAATTTGTCATGAGTTACCAGACTCATGGAATCATGCAGTAGCCAAAGCAGCTTCAGGGGCTGTGACCAGGAGCTCTGTGTCACAGATAGTTGGGGCAACATGTCTGTTTTATTCTGCAGAAAAAAATCTCTTCATCAACTCTACTTTCTGTTGGGGAAGGGTATCCAAACGGAGACATCAGGATTCATTAGACACAGGAGTCTGCAGCTAGGAGCAAGGCCAGGCTGGAGACAGAAAGGCTTGGGAGTCAAGCCACGCAACAGTTAAAGCTGAGGTCTAGGGCCCGGCGCGGTGGCGCAAGTGGTTAAAGGTCCTCGCCTTGCACACCCGGGATCCCATATGGGCGCCGGTTCTAATCCCGGCAGCCCCGCTTCCCTTCCAGCTCCCTGCCTGTGGCCTGGGAAAGCAGTCGAGGACAGCCCAAAGCTTTGGGAACCTGCACCTGCGTGGGAGACCCGGAAGAGGCTCCTGGCTTCGGATCGGCATAGTATCGACCCGTTGCGCTCACTTGGGGAGTGAATCATCGGACGGAAGATCTTCTTCTCTGTCTCTCCTCTCTGTATATCCGCCTTTCCAATGAAAAAGTAATAAAAATAAATCTTTAAAAAAAAAAAAAGCTGAGGTCTAGAAGAATCACTGAGTATGGACAGTGAAGAAACTACAGATGCAGACTTAGAAAACCCCAACACAGGATTTGGAGAACAAGGTGAGAACAAGCCAGTACAGGCATCTGTGAATGGGATGGGGAGCGGATGTTAGAGGACAAAGGGACAATAGAGACGACTACTCCCAGGGGAGATGAGGCTGGGCTGCAACCCACACTGCCAGCCTGCCTGGCAGTGCGAGACACAGCAATCAAGCCTCCACTCCACTGCTGGGTGGACTTGTTTGGGAGGAATGATAGGTGTGAAAGCTGGATTGGAATGTACTCCAGGACACAAGGAGACAGGGAGCAGAGAGAACTCATTTACCCAATTCTCAAGGAACTTGAGTGTAACAGCGTCAGAGAAACAGACCATGATGTGTGGAGAGGAAGAAGGGGGACAAGGAGTATTGTTTCAGATGGGAGAGATGACGACAGGTTTGCAGTCTGATAGGACTCAGCTCAAGAGAAGGGAGCTGATACTGTGCAAGGAGGGAGATGGGTGATGTATTCCCTTGAACAGAGGTGAGGAGAGGATCCCAGTGCAATGCACTCTGCACAACCTTGGTCACTGCATGGACCATCCAGCCACTGCAAGGGGAGAAAGGTGGGGTATGTGGGTCTCAAAAGCCAGTCAAGATGTGGATGTGGTGGTGGGAGCTGGCAAAAATCCTCTTCTGATGACTATGTCCTTCTTTTTTTTCCCCAACATGTTAGTCTCCGGCATCCAGATTCAGCCCAAGGGAAGGAGCTGGCCATGATGACCTGTCCAAGAATACTCGCAGGCTAAGCCCCTCAGCCTGCTGACCTTGGCCCCTGCATTCTGGCCCCAAAGATGTTTCTCACAGAGCCCTCATCTACCCCAGTTGCCACCAGCAGTCCCACTCAGATAGCCCCACACACTGCCTTGTCCCATCTGTGGAGACATGTGGCGATCCCATTCATTCCCACCAGGCTTCTGTCATGGTCCACCTCCTCCAGCTCCCTCAAAGCATCACGAGCCCTTCCCTCATGCTCTCCCAGGACATATTTTTACATATCTGTCATGGCACAGGGCCATACCTCCCTGTGTCTTGCATTTCAGTCACATTTCTGGTTCCCCTCACCCTAACTCCCTAGACTGGGAGTTCTCAGAGGCATGGGCCATGATCACCACAGTCCCCTGGATACAATGGTTTGCTGCCTAATAAATGGTTGAAGATTTGACTAAGTAAGCATTTTGAGAACACAGAAAAATATTTTAGATAATTCTGTGCCACATCTGTCACAAGGTGATAGGCATTCAATGCTCGGTGAGAGCCATTTCATACCAGGGACTCTGTGCACCTACAGCCCTATTTCCCAGCCAGGAATGAGGGTGGAGGAGGAACGGTCACCTCCAGGGCCAGAGAGAACAGTGCTCTTCTCATTGCAGCCCAGAAGTCCAAATCCCTCTCCTACCCTAATTCAAGAACTAAAGAACATGAAGGTTGTTGGTTTTTTTTTTTTTCATACCTTCAGAATGCCTAGGGTTGTGAATCTGTTATGGCTTCATTGTTATTCCTATGTATTGGGGAGAAAACCTCTATTCCATTAGGTTTCAACTTAAAAATAATCACAAGAGAAAGTGGAGCTAGACTCCAGCAGAAGCAGATTGACGAAGCTTGCCCAGGACTTTGCTTGGCTTCATTTCAGGACCGAGTCATGTTCACCTGTGCAGTCCCTGGCTCCCAGGATAGGGAAGTCACTCGGCAAAGGTACAAGGAGGAAGAAGCGCAGGAGCCAGCAAGTGAGGCTCCCCTACTTGCAGGTGCTCAGCTCTGAGTCCAGAGGACACAAGGCTGGGACTCCCGCCTCCCACTGAAGGCTCCTGTCTCAAGTGTCCAAAGCCCACCAAGTCCTATGACCCACCATATCTTCACTCTGCACTCTCAGAGTCACAGAGCAGCTAGGGCCACAGACAGCAGGAGGGAGCAGTACAGACATGGTTTACAGTCAGAGACACGGATGGAGTGGAGGCCTCAAGTCTACCCCATGCCCCACTAACAGTGCCTACTGCACAGGCTCCAGTGCTCACCTTGTACTTGTTGGGGTTGTGTCTCTCCACACAAGCTCCCTTGAGGCAGAACTTGCCCTCACCACAGCTGGTGCCATCTGCCCAGGGAAAGTGGCGGGTCTGGCACACCATCTGGCCCTTGGCCTTGCCGGTACACCACAGCTTGGTGCAGTATTGCATGTAAGGACAGGGCTTAGAGCCCACGCCAAAGGCCAGCTCACACTGCTGGCTCAGGGTGTAGCTGGCACCCGGCAGGTCTTCGGGCAGGGAGACAGGCTTGCTGGGCTGGTCCAGGAGGCAGTCGCCTACAAAAAACGGAGAGCATTTATTAAGCTGAGTAACGCAAGGATCAGTGAACCCAAAATCGAACCAGCAGGAAGAGAATGAGTCCGGGTATAGCTGCCACCAACTGCTCATCACAGTTGAAGGAGAGAGAGCAGATCCAAGAGGCGATGGGCACCACCCCATCACCTGTCTGCCACCCCTGCTTACCATGCCCACTGTCCAAGAAGTCCGTGATGATGGCAGCGCTGCAGGCTGACCAGGGGTTGGCCCGGTCAATCTGAATGAGGGTCGGAGACATCATGTGGTTGGCTCGGAGCTTCCCGAAGACCTCCTCACACACTTTGACGTTGTCATGGGGCATGTTAAACACGTGGCCTGTGGGATCAGCCAAGAGGACTCAGGGGTTGGGAGGTCAGGGCTGTGCAGGAAAGGTTCAAGAGGTTGAAAGAAGAGTGGGGCTGGAGGAGGGGAGGCACTAAGAAGCTATGTCAACAGTCCTCAGGACTTGGCAAATGTCCTTCCTGTGTCCTCTTGCATCAGGCAGGGGCTCGGTGAGGACACAGGGAGTCTCCTTGCATTTAGCATCTTTCCTACCACCAATGCCCAAGTGATAAACCACTGTATGCAGAGGACATTCAGAGCAAAGCCCTGGCCAACCAGACCCAGGCCAGTATGAAAGAACACAACAAAGCCACAATGGCCTGGGGAAGAATCCTTAAGGCTCAGGACACCAGGGAGCAAAGAAAATCAAAGATCTCCCCAAACCCTGCCCACAGCACACACTACCAGCCCCAGAAAGACCCCACAGAGAGTCCTACCTAGCTCATGGGCGGTGGTGAAGGCAGATGGAAGCCCATCATCCTCAATAACGGAGCAGCTTCTCTTGGGGTCACACATGGTGCCCACATCAGCCATGCCCAGGGTGTCACAGGTGGTAGCACCACACAGGTCCTGCAGGGTGTGGAACAAGAGAGCAGGCCCAGAGTTAGAGACAGTGAGAGAAAGGACCTAGAGTGGTATAGAAGCCAATCCCCACTCAACCTGTCTCCAGCAGGCTCAGCAGCCACCAGCCAGGCCCTCCCTCCGAAGCAGTTAGGAGGCAACACAGACTGAGTGAGGTTACCAAGAGTCTGCCCGCATCCTGCCCTGGAGGTCCCATGGGAGCCACAGGGCCATTGCTTTATACAGAAACAGCCTTACAGGTCAGGAAAGTGGTGACTGCCACAGCTGGGAGAGGTTCTCGCTGCTCACAGTTGGTGGAAATCAGTAGGGATGGGAGGCAACCGCATAGGCCATCCAGAGTCAGTATCCCAACTCCCTGCCGGGCACCCTTCCAGACAACCAGGAGTTAAATACAGATTCTCAGTCAAGGACTTGCCCATGCTCAACATTTGGCTTCTTGAGGCTGGGTGAAAGTCAAGGAAGAGGACATGAGGACCACCTAGAGCCAACTCAGCTACAAAGCTTGAGGGGACACGATGGCTATTCATTGGAAGAAAAGGTAAATTAAACATTCTGAGACCTTAGTGGGAAGGTCCCTCATTCTGTCCTGAAGCTTGACATGCTGTAGAAGCTCAGGCTTCCAGCAGCAAAACCCAAGAGAAGCATTCCCAGGACATGCACAGGGCAAAGGGGAGGTCCTGGGGTGGATCAAGTGATGGACACACACAGCATTCTAAGCCAGTGATGCATGTAGTTCAGGCACCCTAGAACTGGAACTGGGGTAAGACCCTTGAGCACATCTCAAGAAGACACGCAGGGAATCAGTGATGCTGGCATCCCCTTTCACTCCTCACCCCCTCCCCTTGAAGGCACAGGGCATTGTAATTTGCAAGGAACCACAACACGCATCATTTAGTCCCCACAGCAGTGTTGGGAAAAAGCTATGCTATGATGATGTCTGTCAAAAATGGAAACAGAGACTGGTGATCATGGCCAGTCCCATCCATGGTTTATGAAATACTGCCACCGTGCAAGCCCTTCGCACGCACAACCGTTATCTATCCTTTCCCACATCCATCTGACATCCCGACTGTCGTCATCCCCCACCACAGACAAGGAAGCCAAAGGCCACAGGGGCTCAAGCCACACAGCAGAAGCACGCACAGAGGATCTATTATGACAAGAGATGCAGAGCTCTGCTCACCGAGTCACAGCCAACCACCCCACAACTTTCGAGTTCACTGTCAGGGGAAAGAGCCACCTCATGGTCTCGAGGGAGCCACGGGGTTCACCGAAACACAAACACACAGAGCAGTCCTCAGTTTTGTTTCATTCTGTGTGTGTGTGCACGCTCGCACTCACATGGCTGACCTAGGGGAGTGCAGGCAGTGGCAGAGTGAAGGGGGGCCAAGGGCATGAGAAGGAAAATGGTCATAGTACATAAAATCAGCAAAATTTAATCCAAAACACTCAGAAGTTTACCACCTGAGCAGTCAAACTTGGCTTCTCACAGTCAGGTGAGAGTCACACCTCCTAATGAGTTAACAGTTATTCTGGCCTGAGAACCGTGACAGTGACCACACTGAACCCAGAGCACGTCGGGTTAACAACAGGTGCCAGGCACATCGAGCCCTGGTCAGCTGCCTCTGTGTGTGCACAGCACATGGATTCCACTTCTGGGAGCCCCACAAGGGCACCTCAAATCTCCTTCCCTGTCCACTGCTCTTCCCAAACAGGGTTCCTTCCCCAGGGCTTTGAATCTTAGCAAACAGCCATGGTGAAAATCGGGAGAAGAGGTTATCTGATTGGCATCTGCTGTGAGTAAACAGGACAGGGGCTGCACAAGGAACTTCTGCCAGGGCACAGAGTAAGAGGCCAGGAGCCCATGTATTTGATCCTGGACATCAGTGTATAGCACCCTGGAAAAGGTTGTCACTCTGGAAACCCTGGCTCAATGGTTGCAAACTACATGGAGGGGAACCCAGGCAAGGACTGTATTGTTCCTGGGCCACCCTGTATACAGAGTAACATTCGTTTGGAAGAGGAAGACCCTTTAGGAGCTTCTGGTCCACTGAGCTACACCATAGAGTTAAAAGCACTGATAGCCGTCATATGATCCATCCCCATGAGCATGCAGAGTTCTCACTCCATCCCAGCCTGCTACTCAGCATCAGCCAGATCAGCTTGACACTCAGCCTGGGACATCAGCTTCCAAGCAGCTGCTTCTACAGCAGCGAGATCCTCAAAGCCAAAGCCACCTCCCTTTCCAGAAAAAAAGCAGAAACCAGCAGCTGCGGGCCCTTCTTGGCCAGGAGCAACCTGCTCTTTCCATCAGAGCAGTTCAGCTTTCCTGGATCAAATAAGAGGACAATGAAGCAGCCAGCAAATGTCTACCATGGTGGCCGGCACCTTCACGGTGGGCAAGCCCAGCTGTGTGGGGTCAGAGGCTCTGCCTGTCCCTCTGCTCACGGTCAGGGTGACAAGTAAAGCATCACTGGAGCCTCGAACGCCCACATGCACATGTGCAGGTGCCCAACCAAGCCTCAGGAGCACCACTGTAGGTCTCCAGTTTTCTGAAATGAGTTCAGAGGTGCTCCTTTGGCCCTCATTCACCTCTTCAGCCCAAGCACTGGTCTCCACAAAGCAGACGCCATTCTGGTTCCCTACACCTGAAGATCAGCCATTTCCAAGTCTAGTCCCAACTTTCCCCATTGTTTCTGGCAATTTACCATCTCTCATGATAACGATAGCTGCTTTTTCAGCAGATGACCCAAGAAATGGCTCAGCTAAGAACTTAACGCTCATAGTTTATTCTTTTCTTTCTTTCTTTTTTTTTTTTTGAGCTAAGTTTTATATATATATATATATATATATATAATTTTTTTTTAATTTTATGGTACAATTTCTACAGTCTGGGATTCCCCACCCCCCAGTTTATTCTTTTCTAAGAGTCCCTTCTGGCAAAAATAACTTCTGATTGGACCTTCAATTGAAATTATTACATGAGAATAACAGCTCGCAACAGCCCAACCCACATGTCCTAGAGCTGCACCCTGCACGCCCCCACCCATTTTCCCTTCCCAGCTGACTTCTTCCTACCACCACTTGTTTCCCATACATGCACATACTGACAAGTTCAATGTTTTCCAGCAGTGGAGAAGGAAAGAGACCTACAAAACTCAAGTACATTCATCTGTTGCAATGTCGCAGAAGATATATATGCTGCTGTGTAGCTTACTTCCGGTGTACACCAATGTCCCAGGCATGACAGTCGCAGCTCATCTTCACAGTCACAATTCAGAAGGCAAGAATTACACTCACAGCACTGTGGAGCCCTTCACAGCTGGAGACGCTGAGGCTGGGAGAGCTGACCGCACACACCCCAGGCCAGATGGCTATTCCGCCAAGAAGAGGATCCTGCATTCGCATCCTTCGACACAAGGTTGGCGAGCTCTTTGATCTGAAACACTCTGTACTGTAAGGAAACCACAACTGGCCCAAGCACCCCGCACTATTAGTAGCACTGACGTTTTACCTAGCTTCCTGTCTGAATCTCTCCCATATGACCCTGCATTTCCTTGTCCAACAAATCCTACTTTCTCCTTGTCACACCCAAAGGTGGGAGGACTTGCTCAGCCAGAAGAAATAAAGTCTAGTCATTCAGAATGTAGGCCAAGAGTGACCAAGGCTGTGTAGGGAAGCTGAGTGAGAAAGCAAGGCCTGAGGGCATTCATTACTTCTCTTAACAGATTTGGTTTCCCTGGCATCAGATTCCACAAGGATCTGGGGGTAACCAAACCATAAGAATTACCTCAATGAGGAAGAAAGAGGAAGCAAATGCTTGCAGCAGGATTAAACCCTCTCTCATCACTTCAAGAGAGGATGTCTACCAAACATAATGGCAAGCATACACACCAGAGACTGTGTCAACACTTTACCTACCTGTATTAGCTCATGAAATCCTTACATAGCTGAGTTAGGGAGAGTCACCCCACCCTGCCAGAAAAAATAATTGGCCTGGGCTCACTCAGCCCCAGAGAGGAATAGGCTGGAGTGAGGCATGGGACCCAGGTGGTACAACCTGGGGCTGAGCTCTCACCAGGATTGCCCACTGCTTTTGGTGCAGTCCACCCCAAGAATGAAAGGGTGTCAGAATCTTTGAAGGAAGAAATTGCTCACCCAGCCCTGTCCCCTCCCCAGAGCTCAGCTGGTGCTGGTCCACAGCAAAGTCCTGGGGAGAGGCAAGCAGCCAGACAAAGCACTAAGGGTGTCTGCATTCTGCCTTGCTGGTTGAGCAAGCTCCTGGCTCCCTGCCCCACACCTGCAGTGACACACTGACCCGTCCTTGCCATGCACTCTGTCTGTTGACTCCAGAGTAGATTAAACATGCTTCTCTCAGGGGCCTCTTCTTTCTCCAGGGCAAAAAGCTAGTGGCAAAGAGCCAAGATGGAATGCTAGCAGAACACAAGCTTACCCTCTCTCACCTCTGCAGCCTGACAGCCTGAAAGCTGGATTCCTGACGTCAGGGGGTGAGCCACCTAAACACCACCAGTCTCAGGTAGTGCCCATGCTTTTGTCTGCACCTCCTTCCACAAGCACTCCCTGAAGGATACCACACAGGGGCACACTGAGGGGCTGTGACGATGGCCAAGGCTTGCATCCAGTTTTCACACCAACAAAACAAGATGTCATCAGACCCTTGCAAGGGCAATGGGATAGAATCCTTTAAATCAGCACAATCCCAAGTTTAAATTCTGGCAAGGAATCTGTAGGCAATTACTCAACAAAAAAATGTATCACTAATGCATAGTTAAATTGGTGATCACACCTGCTCTCATTGGATGCTATTCTACAATGCAATAGCCCTGAAGTCAGGTATCAAGTGATCTCCACTGACATTTCCCTGCAGCTGTGGAAATTGAAGTTCCAGCAACTGATACATCCACTGTTCATTTCTAGGCAATTCAAGTGCTAAGACTCCAAAACTTAGCTATTTGACTCCAAGCCTGTGTTCTTGTCACTACTTCACAGAAGTGAGTCAAGGTGATAAGCAGAGACTACAGAGGGACTCAAATACAGAGGAATTCAAAGGAAGAGGGAAAGCAAGACCCAGGCAAGGAGAAAACTCACTACCTTCCTGATTCTGCCGGAGAGGAGACAAAAGGTGCCCTCCAACTTCCTCCCCATCTTCTGGCACAGGGCCTAATAATTTGGTGTAAGAAAAGGAAGAGAGCGGGCATGTGGCATTGTGGTTAACACAGAGAATGAAATGCCTACATCACATATTGGCTCCAACTTTTGACTGCAGCTGCCTGCTGACACACACCCTGGGAAGCAGCAAAGACTCTAGGACTTGGGTCCCCTGGGCCTCCCATGGGAAACCCAGACTGAGTTCTTCGCTCTTGATTTCAGCCTGAACCAGCTGAGGTGATTGTGGGCATTTGGGGAGAGGCCTTTCTCTCTCTTTTTCATTCTCTCTCTCTGGAAGTGTATGTGCACATATGGTTAAATTATATAATTATATTGGAGGGAGGGAGGGAAGGAGGAACAGAGAGGGAGGAAGGGACGGAGGAAAGGAGGGAGGGAGAGAGGGAAAGAGGGAGAGAAGGAAGGAAGGAAGGAAGGAAGGAAGGAAGGAAGGAAGGAAGGAAGGAAGGAAGGAAGGAAGGAAGGAAGGAAGGAAGGGGAAGAGAGGGGAAGGGAAGGGGAAAAGGAACGACAAAGTACTCCCCCTATAAGAAGAGAATGGTGTTAGCCCACCGAGTGTTTCCCAGCCTCGCCCTCCACCCTTTAGGAGTGATGTTGTATTTCCATGCAGCAACTGAGCATCAAAAATGACAACTCCTCCAGTATCTCCCAAGACCCAACTTCAAAACTGATCCTGATAAATCATGACTCATTTTCACCATGCTGGAAGATACAGGTAGGTGCATATTATCATTCTATCACTCACATTGTTTTCTATCTGAACACTAAACCAAACTGCTTATACTGAGTGCTTTATTATAGCAAGAATTGACCAACTGAACTATTTCATATGAGGGTCCAGAATGCTGCTCCGAACTGCATAGTACAGAGCACACCTACTCTCCAAAACAGGGCACCACTCAAGATCAGCCCAAGAAGAGAAGCACCAGAGTTGAGGTGATGAGAGCAGGAAGGTCAGAGCGTGAATGCAGATGGTAAAAGAGCAAAGACAGGAGAGAAGAGAACTATGATAAAAAGCCTGCAAGAGGCAGGGGGTGGCACCATAGCTTCACGAGTAAAACCGCCATCTGTGACACATCCCATACCGTTGTTGGTTCATATCTCAGTTGTTCCATTTCCAACTCAGCTCCCTGTTACTGGGAAAGCAGTGGACCCCTGCACTCATGTGGGAGACCTGGAAGAGCTCCAGCCTTTGTGGCATTTGGGAAGTAAACCAGCAGATGGAAGAACTCTCTCTCATTCACACCCTTTCCCTCTCATCTATAACTCTGCCTTTTGAATAAATAAATAAATCTTTCTTAAAACAAATACTCTAGCTAAACCCAAAAGAGAATAAAGAAAAGGGAACAAGGAGAGGGGAATGAGAAATGGCATAGAGTGACACAAAACACAACAGAAAATGTAAAATAAATGAAGGAATAAGACAAGTGAGAAAGTTATAAACTACAAAAATCCTAAGAAACAAAGCCACACAGCCAGGAAATAACACAAACAACAAAACAGAGAAGTAAGTGCCCCACAAGGCAGAAAACAAGCTCCCCCTGCTCTCTGACCCAGCTCCCCAGCCCTGGTGCCTCTCTTTCCACCCTGGTCCTCAGAGCCTGCACCCCACAGAAACGACCCATGCCTGTATGTGGCACTGAGCACACAGCACCAGCATGAGCTCTGCCTTATGGACTCCCTGCCACCCCATAAATCTCTGGAGACCAGACCCCATGGCTTATTACTATTTGTAGCTTCACAGCCAGGAATAGTCCCTAGAAATAATTGATGCTCAATAAGTATTAAGAGGATGCATGAATCCTCAAGTCACAGCCATTCTAACACTCAAAGCACCAGCAGAGGCACCTGGTCTGAAGGCAGAGAAGTCTCAGAAAGCAAGGGCCAACCCTGTCTCTCGGCATTCTATACCAGCATCCTGCTACCCCGTGCAGCAAGAAGCCACAGAACTTTCTCTCCTCAAAGAAACACACAGAAAAAGCTCTGGCTCAAATTCCCCACATATATTCTGGTTCCAATCTGGTGCTGACCTCACCCTGCTGCTATGAGCCTGGAGCCTTCTGCTGGAGCATTCTGCAAAATCAGATGTGAACTCTCTTGGGTCTTTGCACAGACTCCTCAGATTGTCACAGCGCCTGTTGCATGGTCAGCATGTCCTCCTCTCTGGAAAGTTAAGCTCCTGGAGACCACAATTGTCTGCCTCTTTTTAGAGTGAGCAGTTGCTTGCTCTTCCTCCTGCCCTGCTGGAAGAGTTCTGGAATGAAAAGGTTCTAAGACTCTGAGAATGCAGCAGGCTCTGAAGTCAGGGCTGGCGAGGACTTGGGGGAAGAGATGTTTACACTAATGCATAACAAACATGCCTCAATGCTGGACCAGCCAACCCTGTCTCTCCACCCTCTGGCTTTGCCCTCTGGATGCTTAAGGAAAAGCAGCTTCCAAAAGTCACATCTTGCACATGGCTGCTCCTGACCCAAGTGGTCATGCATCTTGTACCCATTATGCAAGGACCGTGCAGCCCCCACTGGGAAACAGAAGCCACCCCACTGTTTGATTGCTTCTTCTTTAAAAGATGGAAATCTTCTGATGGCTCGGCCCATGTTCCCAACTGGGAGTCTTCTTCACCAGGGCTGGTTCCATAAGTCAGCCTTAACCACCAGGCAGTAGGAGGTGAGGGCAGTGTCGTTTCATTCAGTTGTTTGACCTCTACAGGGACCTCATGGGTAGCGGATGGTATAACAGCTGTCTTATCCATTAAGATATCCTGGTTTGGGCCTTTGCCTTTCTCTGCCAGCCCTCTGATGGCTGGGCTGGTCTGTGTTGCAAAGGCAGCTGCCATCTCTCCTGCAGTTCCCCGTCATGATTCAGGCAGTGCTTGGAGGGGCTGGGCAGTGACAGCTTCACAGACCTTCTTCATTGGACAAATGAGTACAAGGAAACAAGATTCAGGCCAAAGACCTCCCTTGAGAGATCAGGTTGTGGGAGGAGAAGAAGGCTTGGAGAGAGGAAAGCACGGCTCCATGAAAGGACTAGTCAAGCCAAGTGTGTTACCGTGGGTCATGCCAGCGCCCACTGGCGTGCACCAGTCCAGCTTTGAGTGACCATTCGGAAACAAGGGAGCAAGAGTCAGAGGTAGTCACCCCCACAATGCTGCAGCACCACGATGACAAAACAGAAGCGTGGCATGGATGCCAAGTCCCCACCCCAAAACAAGGAGAAACAGTTTGGATGGCTCCTTTGCTGCAGACCTCCTATATCTGAGAAATCCCAAGAATCCTAACCATTCACAGTGCCTCGTCACTCCAATAACTCTAAATGTTCACAGATTTATAGCTCAATTTAGATAGAATATTAGGTAATGAGCCTGGTCTGAGCCCGCCTCTCCAGTCCCCACATGCAGTATCTTTCCAGCTCTGGAGTCTCCAATGCTTTGATCAACCTCATCCCATGTCCACCCCTGCAAGGACAGAAGCCAGCGCCCCACGGTTTAGTAGGGTCATAGTCGCTTCAGCGAGTCTGGAGCAGGAGTCATTTGGCCTGATGTTCCATCAGGGGCAAATGGGTGGCCCTCTGCTAACAAAAACACACTGGAGAACATTGGAGAATTTCCAAGACAAACTCCAAATGAGACTCCCAGCTGCAAACAGGTGCTGGACCTCAACTACCTCTTCTGAACTGGAACCCCTGGGCGAGGCCCAGCAGAGACGGGTGCAGAAGAAGCAGCCAGGAAGGAGGAATGCTCCCCGAACTACTTGAGGGAGACCTTTCAAGGCAACACACTACACAGCCCAGTGCAACACACACACCCCCACACAAACACACACACACACACCATTTCCTCCCCCCTTCCTTCCCCATGCAGGCTTTCCAAACCCAAAACAGAAAAGCATAACATGTTACCAGGGAGAAACGTTAATAGCGGCTGGCCATGCATAGCCTTCCAGTTCCACAGCCAGAGAAAGCAGCCCTCAGTGCTTGAAAGGCTATAGGTGTCCCATACTGCTAGGGCAGACCAGTCTGCGTTCTCCAACACTATCCTCACAGCACCTCCTATCGGCCCGGGACACAAAATGCGGCTCCGGGGCGGCTTCCTGGGTTCCGGCCCCTTGGCGCCCGATCCGGGAGACGCTGATTGGCCGCGCCAGGCCAACACCTTCAGAAGGAGCAGGCTTTCGTCCAACCACCCAGAAGCACGTGAGTCGGGGCTCGGCGGAGCCCAAGACGGGGCTCACCCTGAAAGCTCCCGAGGAGGAGTCCCGAAGGCAGCAGGGAAATCGCGTGGCACAAAAGGAGTTTCGAAAGTGAGGGCAATGGGTGCCAAGGGAGGCCAGGTGGACTTACCTGCCTGGTGAAGAGGATGGCGGTGTCCCAGTACTCAGGGTGCTTGTCGCTGACTTTGTTCAGCTTCTTCTGCCACGCGCAGAAGTTGCGCAGCGTCAGGGCCGCGTTACCGGTGACCTTGGGCCCGCTGTCACGGTCTCCAAGAAGCAGCACCTTGACCACAACGATGTTGATGGGGTTGAGGATGCTGGGGTGACGGTAAAGTCGCGCCGCCGTGGCCAACAGCGTCAACAGATAATGCTCCAAGTCCGCGCCGTGGAACTTGACCATGGACTCGTCAGCCACCACCAGTGTCTCCACGTACCGTGGGATAGAGGCGAAGCGCTTGGCGCGCCCGTATCTGCGCCCGCCCGAATTCTCCCCTGGGCCGGTCCGCCGCGGCTTGTAAGGGTCCAGGGCTCGCAGGATGGCGGGGTTCCAGCCCGATCCCACCCCGCAGCGCGAGGTGCGGTCCCCAGAAGAGCCGCCCGGGACGCCCCGGCGCTGGAGGAGGTGTGTGCCCTGGCTGTTGCGCTGCGCCGCGGGCGCGCTGGCGTTGGGCAGCGGGCTGATGACATACTCCACGCCTTGGTAGCCGAAGGCCCCGCGAAGCCCCCCGCACAGGCTCACAGCGGCGAACGAGTCCGGCTCCGCGTTCACGTCCCCAGAGTAGAAACAGCTTCGCAAGTCCTCAGAGTTCTCAGTGAGCACCCGGAGTGGGGTGCCCAGATGCCCCGAGGCAAAGGCGGGTGCCAGGAACCGAGCATCCGGCGCCAGGTGTAGGTAAAAGTCTTCCTGAAACGCCGTGATCTGAAAAATAAGTCCCTGATCCCCGGAGTCCTCGGGACCTCTTCGGTAGTAGTGGCGGCCGTTGATGTCCGGGTCCAGTCGGATGGGAACCACCACCTCCCGCTCCGGCTCAGAGCCGCCAGCCTGTCGCCCGGCAAGAGCCAGGGTCAAGATGCCCAGCAGAAGCATGGCGCCCGGCAGCGCACGCCGCTCTCTGGCCGAGGAGCTCGACCCTGGGATCCCTGGCTGCGGGCACCGGCTCGGTGCAGCCCGCACGCCGGAACCCACAACGCCCCGGGGCTGCCGGCAGCTCCCAAGAAAGGAGAGCTGCAGAGGGTGACTCCTCCCCGAGCAGCGAGCGTGCACCAGGCAGCCCGCGCCTCCTACCTGTGTCTTTCCAGGCAGAGCGTGCTCGGGGAGATTAACTGCATTCGCTGTCAAGTGCAAGGACGAAATTTTGCAGCGAAGTGCAGAGCGTCTTCTCGAAGCCGCAGCCACTCACAGCGCTGCAAACTCCGCCCGTGGTGGCTAGCTTATTAAAGGCCCCCTCCCCTTTGGACTGCCCAGTCCCCGCCTCTCCCCTCGCCTCCCAGAGCGGGGAGCCTCCAGGGGGAACTCGGTCCCGCCTCCAGAGCTGAGAACCAGTGGCGTTGCACTGAGGCGGGAGACGTGGGCTGGCCAGAGGAGCCTGGGTTTAAGTTTTGCCCTGGGCTATGCCCCATTGCCCTAGGGAACATTGCTTTGCTTCTACCCGGACCGTATCTGGGCACTCCTAGACCTTAGCCTTGATATCAAAGCAGCTGGGATCTGACCTTAAGCATGGAGACCCACCACTGACCCCTCTCCCAGGCCCACTTCAGCCCTCCAGTTGCAACATCCCCACTGTTTCTCAATCGCAGTCTTCTAAAAGACCCAGCAGAAAGAACTTCCCACCCCTCTAGAAACCAATGCCCTACTGCCACAACTTTTCAACACGAAGAGCCTTTCTCCAGCGCAGGCCTACCTAGGTTCACGGCTTGCCCTAGGGCAGTTGTGTTCCGGATGGGCTGGTGTGGACTTAAATTTTCAGGAATTTTTCTCAGCCAGCTGTCCAACACCGCCATCATTTTAAAATAAGTTGTATTAAGTTATAGCTAAGCAGATTGCATTTTTAAATCCTTTGCTTCCTACTTATGGGACTAGTACGATGTATGGTCTTGAACCATTGGAACTGTCCAGCTTCTGGGGCAGTCCACAGAGCTCCCAGCTACTCTGCATCTCCCCACTTAGTTGAGCTTGGTCCTAATGGAAGCAATGTCACCAATTAAAAAGCAAACACTTCCCAGCCCTTGTTCAACATGTGCCAGCAAACCAGTAGCTGGGGGGAATGTGGAGAGCAGGTGCTAAGGCTGTTGGATGCAAGGCAGAGAGGTTGTTTTCCTGCCAGGGGAGACCCACAGATGATGGATGGCAATCAAAGCAAGCTCGTCCTTCAGATCAGCCCATATGATCCTTGACCAAGCACTGGACAGGAAAACTAGATAAGAAGGTACGAGTAAGTCACTCGGAGATGTAGTATAGCCTCTGAGCCCATCTAATTCCTATCTGTGGCTCTAAATCCCAAGGCCCGTCTCTCTCCAAAGACAGGAGGAAGAGATGTAGAGAGGAAGGAGAATTTCTCAGACACTCCTGATGCCTCATCCATCGTTCCAGAACCAAAAGGCTCCATGTTGAACTTGGCAGAGGACAGGACAGGGATGTGTGCAACAATTTCAAGCATCAAGAGAGAGAGGTATGAAAGAATTTTCAAATTTTCTTAGCAAAGTGGGCTGCTCGACAAAGCAACAGTGATGGAAAGAGAAGCTAGAACTGACCCCTTGGAGAAGCACTCTTCTTGTCATTCTCTTTTTCCCATTGAGTATCCACTCTCAGAAGAGATCCTAAGTCCTTGGGATTGGAGCAGGAATTCAGTGCAAATGTCCATGATTCTGCCGGAGCCCTTCCCTAATTGAGACCCAGGGAGCTGAAATTCATTAAGTGAATGAGTAAGAGACGGGTGTTTACACTCAGTAAATGAAAGGGAGAATATGCATACAGAAGGACTGTGGGTAAGAGAAAGGGAGTTGCAGTTTACAAAGGCCCTTGTGTGTTGATGAGTTCAAAGAGGGCCTATAATTAAAGAGGAACTCAGACACCAAAATCAAAGACAAGGCATTTATTTAGGGCAAGCCATTGTTGTCCTGCACCCAGCAGACTTCAAGGCAGGGTTCAAGGTTTCCAATGATTCTTTGCTCTCTTTCTGATGGCTGGGCTTTGGCAAAGTCTGCAACATGGCAAGCCCAGGGAGAGGAAACCTGCACCCCACACAGGTTCCTGGCTTTCTCAATCACAGCTCCATCACTCTCAACCCAGAGCACAGAAACCTGCTGTGTGGTCCTGACTGACAGCGTTAGCACACAGCCCACACTTCTTGTGAGCTACCACTGCACCACAAGCTTTGGAGACATTCTCTTGCTTAATGCTTGTCTCTCCTTGGGAACAGTTGCATCCAATCACTCTTTCTAGGGCTTTCCATCTCAGAACTGAGAGCACCTGATAGAAGTCAGAGGCACTCAGGAGCCACACTCCATTCCCATCTCTGATCTGACTCTCAACCTCTGAATTTCTTCATCTGCCCAAAGAGAAAGGGTCATCCCAGATCAGAGGCTTGTGTCAGGAGTCTCTGGTCCACATAACATCTGAGATCTAGTTCCAGATCCCCAGCACTGTGGCATAGTGGGTAAAGCCTAGCTTGCAACATCAACATCTCCTATAAGCTCCAGTTCATGTCCCAGATATTCCATTTCCAACCCAGCTCCCTGCCAATGGCCTGGGAAAAGCCATGAGAGATGGTTCAAATATTTTCATGTGGGAGACCCAGAGGAATCTCCTAGCTCTCCTGGCTTCATCCAACCCAAAAAGAGTGAACCAGTAGATGCAAGAGCACTCTCGCTCTGTCTCTCTCTCTTTTTCTTTCTGTTTCAACTCTGACTTCCAAGTAAACCATATAAATGTTTTTTTTTAAAACCCACATAAATACTACATGGCTATTTGAGCCTGCAAAAGGCAACATGATCTGATTCACAAAATCCCAGAGTCAGAGGGACATTTATCTCAGTCAACTTTTTCTCACTACAGCAAACATCTGAAAGAAGCTTTGGAATGAGGAAGGTTTATTTCAGTTCATGGTTTTAGAGTGCACAGCCCAAGATTGAGTGGCCCCAAAAGTCTGGAATCTGATGAAGGCAGTGGCTGACAGAATGCATTGCATGGTAAACCAAAAGCAGAGAGACTGGAGAACATGCCCATCCATGTGCCTTCTCCTGTTACAACCATCATGATTTAATCATAAGCGCTATCCACAAAATCTTATCATCCAGTCATTTCCCCAAACTCCTATGTTTAGACACTGTAAGTGGACCAAGTGTCCACCCTGTTAAGTACCATCAGTCCAAGACTTTGGGCCTTAAACATCTGCATGCACTGGGGGGTCCAATCATGCTCAGTAGAGCAACACCCCTCCACCAGATCTTAGTTACATTGTCTGAGTCAGTTACTGCTCGTCGTTAAGCCTCAGTTTTCTTATTGTTGAAGTGAAGATGGAAATGGGCATTGGCCTACTGATTGAGATGCCAGTTAGAATGCCTGCGTCCCATATCAAAGTTATCTCGATTCCAGATTCCTGGCCACACAGACCCTGGGAGGCACAGTCCTTGGGTCCCTGCCATCCTCAGGGTGGGAGCTTCTCACTCCCTTTGTTTTACACTAGGAGTGTCTGCTGCAGTCATTCAATAGGTGAACAGTCCATGAGATCTCTCTCCCTCCGTCTTCCAACTTTCCAAATAATTTTTAAAATACATTGAATACATTAGTTAAATGGAGTCTATAACACCATTCACACCTCCTATAGATGCTGTGAGGATTCAATGAGCCAGTACTTCCAAAATGCTCAGCAATGCCATAGTCCCTGAAAGTTATCTTTTTATAGTGCTGTTCCATTTTTATTAGCTATCCCCAATATTCCCACTGCTACGCTTCAGCAGGCCTTCCAAGAGGAATGCTGCCGTCACTCATCTGAAGCTACACTGCTACCTCTCCCTGTCCTCCATGATCTTAAGATGCCTGGGAAAGAAAAGACAACTCCCTCATCACCCTCAGGGAGAGCCTGGGACACCTGGACCATTCTGTTACCTCTGGACAGCTCAATAAGACCTTGTGCCGTTCACCAACCTCCTCACACCCTTCAGGCCTCAGCCCACAGACAGCCTCCTTAGACAAGTTTCCCTGAGCCACCCAGTCTAAGACTCCCAAGTCACAGCCACGACTGCCTGTTTCATTTTGTCCTTAGCATTTCCCTATCTCTAAACCTACATTTGCTTGCATTTTGCTTTTTGATTGACTATGATCCTGCCCCCACCAGAATGACTGGAACCTGTCTCATTCACTATTACAATAGCAGCCCCTTTTCCACAGGAAAGACACTCCAGGACTTCTAGCAGATTCCTGAACCTGCAGGCAGCTCCAAACCCTTGCTATACTGGTGTTTCCAATACATGCATAACCAAGATAAAATTTAATGTATAAATTAGGCCCAGCAAGAGACTGACAGCATTACTGATAACAAAAGAGAACAATTGTAACAATATATTATAACACCAATCATTTAAAATTCAGGTTGGAGTTGGGCCTGGCAACTAAGATGCTAGTTAAGGAGGACCCCATTCCGTGTCTGAGGTCCCAGCAGCAGCTCAGGATTCCAGCCTTCTGCCAATGCACACGCTGCAAGGCAACAAATGATAGCTCGAGTTGTTAAGCCCCTACCACTCGTGTGGGAGTCCTGGTTTGAGCTCCCAGCTGCCAGATTAGGTTCCTGCCTGGCTCTGGCCAGAGACCCTGGATGTCCATGAGTGACTGAAACTACAGGAAATGAAACCACAGATAAGAGGGGTTGTGTGCATAGCACAGCCTGATTCAGTCAGACACACAGAAGTTTCCCCTGCATACTGAATGAACAAATCAATCCACTTCTAAATCTCAGCCTGGCCACTCACAGTCTGCAAAGGTTTGGGCAAAATGTGTCGCATCTAAAATAGGAATGAGGCTGTCTCCGACTCCTGGTCCAGAGCACCAACATACTGCTCCCATCAATGTTCATTTTCCTACACTTTTCT